GGGGGGGTCCCTGGACAATGTGGGGAGCCCCCGTGGGCGGGGGTGTGGGGACACGTGCCGTGGCCACCTCAGTGGGGCCGGTGTGGCAATGTCCCCGAGATGGCATCTCCCTGTCACACGCTGGTTTCCTGCCCTCGCCCGCCCTGCGGATGCTGAGCTGGGCTGATGGTATCGCGGTGACACGGGGGGGCTGTGCCACCACGGCACCCGTGGCTGTCACATCCCGCCTGGGGGGATGGGTGCCTGGGCTTGGGGTCACGGGTGGTGGCCACAGGGTGAGAGCACTGGGGACACGGGTTGGTGCTGGGGACACAGGTGGTGGCCATGGGTTGAGAGCACTGGGGATGTGGGTTGGTGCTGGGGACACAGATGGTGACCATGGGTTGAGAGCCCTGGGGACGTGCGTCGGTGCTGGGGACACAGGTTGATGCTGGGGACACAGGTGGTGGCCACAGGGTGAGAGCCCTGGGGACATGGTTGATACTGGGGACACGGGTTGGTGCTGGGGACGTGCGTCGGTGCTGGGGACACAGGTTGATGCTGGGGACACAGGTGGTGGCCACAGGGTGAGAGCCCTGGGGACATGGTTGATGCTGGGGACATGGGTGGTGGCCATGGGTTGAGAGCACTGGGGACGTGGATTGGTGCTGGGGACATGGGTGGTGGCCACAGGGTGAGAGCCCTGGGGATATGGTTGATGCTGGGGACACAGGTTGGTGCTGGGGACATGGGTGGTGGCCATGGGTTGAGAGCCCTGGGGACATGGGTGGGTGCTGGGGACATGGGTGGGTGCTGGGGACACGGGTGGTGGCCACAGGGTGAGAGCCCTGGGGATATGGTTGATGCTGGGGACACAGGTTGGTGCTGGGGACATGGGTGGTGGCCATGGGTTGAGAGCACAGGGGACAGGGGTTGGTGCTGGGGACACTGATGGTGGCCACGAGGTGAGAGCGTTGGGGACACGGGCTGGTGCTGGGGACGCAGGTGGTGGCCATGGGGTATGAAGGTTGGGGACATGGTTTATTGCTGGGGACACTGATGGTGGCCACGAGGTGAGAGTGTTGGGGACATGGGTTGGTGCTGGGGACACAGGTGGTGGCCATGAGGTAAGAAGGTTGGGGACATGGTTTATTGCTGGGGACAATGATGTTGGCCATGAGGTGAGAGCGTTGGGGACATGGGTTGGTGCTGGGGACACTGATGGTGGCCACAAGGTGAGAGCGCTGGGGACATGGGTTGGTGCTGGGGACACGGGTTGGTGCTGAGGACACTGGTGGTGGCCCCAGGGTGAGTGTTGGGGACGAGGGTTGGAATGGGATGATGTCCCCAGGACATGCTCTGGAGACCTGGCCAGTAACTGGGGGTGCCGTGGCCATGTGGCCTCTACCCTGACGTGAGGCCGCGGGGTGGTGGCAGCGGCCGGTGACCATTTCCTGTCACTAATCACCGCTAATTGGCTTTGCCCTGCCTGGGTCCAGGGAGCCCACGGCGGGGGGGGAGGCCAGGGGGGGTACGTCGGGGCGTAAGAGGATTGTCCTGGTCCTTCTTAAGGCTTGGCCACCTCGGGGTCCTGCTCCCTGCCCGCTTGCCACCCGCCCCCAGCCCCATGCCACGCTCGCGGGGGGACAAGGGGACCCCAAAGGACACGGAGACCCCGGGGAAGGGGAAAGGTGGGGGGGAGGTGGGCGAGAAAACCCCCAAAACCCCCGAGGAAGGTGGCCCCCCGGCCACCAAGAGCCCTGGCTCTGAGTCCCGGCACGGTGGCCACGGGCAGAAGAACAGCAAGAAGGGACTTGGGGACCCCCACGCCGCTGCCACCAAGACCTACTCCCCCTTCCTCAACACCGTCTTCGGCAAGGTGGGGACAGCCGGGAAGGGCAGGGGGACACGGGGGGGACACTGGGGGTGGAGGGGACGTGGGGACAAGGTTGGGGGATGCTCTGGGAGCTGGGGGATGGAGGGAATGGTGTGGGGCTGGGGGGGGACAGGCCAGGACCCTGGGGGTGGAGGGGACATGGAGGAGGAGTGAAGATGGGGTTGGGGATGTTCTGGGACCCCGGGGATGGAGGGGACATGGAGGTGCTGGGGACAGGGTTGGGGACACTCTGGGACCCCAGGAATGGAGGGGACAGTGGGGCATTGGGGACAGGGTTGGGGACACTCTGGGACCCCAGGAATGGAGGGGACAATCTGGGACCCTGGGGGTGGAGGGGACAGTG